TATTTATTTATTTATTTATTTATTTATTTATTTATTTATTTATTTATTTATTTTCTAAAGAAATCAGGTCACATTTGCGACCAAACTGGTTGCACTCTAGAGCCCTGCTAACTGTTGTTTTGACAGTCAGGTACAATCTCAGGTACAATCTCAGGTACAATCTCAGGTATAATCTCTGTTACAATCTCAGGTACAATCTCAGGTACGCAGATGAGCTTCATGACATTCCATCTGGTGCACTTTTTATTTTTTTGACTGCATGTGTACCTGCGCACCACTTATGTGCAGCTCTGACTATAACGCAGGGCAGTCAGTATTAAAGTTACTAGCGGTGCACCGATAAATCAGCCAGATGATTTATCGTTACTTTTGGGAAATGGGAGATTGGCCGATCCTTGGATAAGATCAGTGGAGAAGATGGACAGAAAAAAATCATCATTTCCACCTCCTAAAAGATCTGAAAATCAGTATCCTGTTTTACTCTGCTGTGAGCACTACCTAATACCAGTTAAAACAAGTTTATATTGTTTCAACAGTATGGTTCAAAGTATTTCAGTAAAATAACATTTGAACATTGAAGTTGTGACTTTATAACATGTGACAGTGTCAGCAGAGGGCTGGGTGGTATGACCTCAAATTCATATCACGGTATAAATTGAATCCCTTCATGGTTACGGTATATATCACATTATAAAATTATCATATAAAGCAAAGATAATGTAATTTTTACAGCATTTATTTAGTAAAAAACTGTAATCATAATCAAACCCAGTATTTTTGCTGTAGTACAAATGAACATAACAGAAGTACAAAAGAAAGTTTTATTTATATTGTAAAACAGTTTGGGGGTGGGGGGGGGGGGGCAGGTTCACAGGGTTTAGTTAGTTTGACAAAGTGCAGCATGAATGTGAATCACACCAACTGAAAATGTAAACAAGTCTTTAAATTTAGGTCCTGAACTGAACCGAGTCTACTGGACCATCAGGTGTGTGTGACCCTGATGAGCTGGATGAGTTTAATGAGGCGGGTGTGGATCAGTGATAAAACAGTTGGAGTTTCACCAAGACGCTGATCTGTTGTGTCCCATCAGTGTCTGAATGTGATCTGATCAGACTGAACAGAATGATGGGATGGTTGTGTGTGAATGGGTAAATGAGGGCACAGATTGTGTAGTAAAGCTCTTACAGGCCTGGTCAGTCCTGGTCCTGGGGGGCTGCAGCCCTGCAGGTTTTACTTGTTTCTCTGCTCCAACACACCTGATATGATGATTATCAGACTTCTGCAGTGTGCAGGACCAAAACTGACATTAAAAATAAAAGCAGAATTATAAATAAATGCACCAATTAAATTAAAAAAGGAAAACTTTATCTCCTGTTTTATATTTTTATTGACTTATTTATTTTTCCAGGTTAGTTATAATAAATTAGTCTATATATTTGAACACATAATTTAAATTTGACTGTTTTTTAAATTCCTAAATTCCTTCTGTTGAGGAAGCTGAACCTGGGGACTTTGGGTTGGGCTCTCCAATCTCTGGGGACGAGGTCACTGAGGTGGTCAAAAACCTCCACGGTGGCAGGGCCCCGGGGGTGGATGAGATCCGCCCGGAGTTCCTCAAGGCTCTGGATGTTGTAGGGTTGGTAAGGTCTATTCAGGGGTCCTGGAGAGGAGGGTCCGTCGGATAGTCGAACCTCGGATTCAGGAAGAGCAG